TCCAGAGTCAATAGTTTTTCCAAATGTGACAATCTTAATCCACTGCACCTCGTTTGGAAATTCTTGAAGGGCTGAAAATTCCATGCGATAGCATTGTGTTGTGATTCAATGTCAAATCCCAAGTTTGGGCAGTGATTTGACAGTATCACAAGTTACTTGTCTGTCAGTTTGAAATCTGAATGCCTCAAAAAGGAAAGGAATATGGCAACAGGCAAGTGAGTCAGGCAGATTCAGTTCTAGGAAGGCGCGGAGCATGATGTTTAGTCGTCCAAGTTCAACCGCACTTTCCCAACATAGCAAATCCCCGTTCACGGCCATTGAAGGAACGACTTGTATATACTAGTTATGTGTCTACCTATGACGTTTGTACATGCTTTCATATGTTACTTCAGCATCGGGGCCGTTTCTTGTGTTGCACCTGCCTTTTGAATATCTGGAAAATTTCTTCAATTGCCTAGAGCTCATGTTGCTCGTGTTCCGATCCTCCAAAATGGAGTTCTTTACATCATGCACCTGAGTCTTAAGTCTTAGCCATTCTTACAACCTCTTTCGAGTCTGTGACCAGTGCGGTTCGGCTCAACAACTACTTGATGCTCATCGATCTAGTTAGATGGTCAATTGAGAAAACGTCTCCTTCACATTCCTCATCTGTCATCGCCATCATGCCAAATAAAAAGCACAAAAAGCCTTTCCGTGTGTACGAGGATCATGACGCCACTAAACCAGAATACTGTACTGGCGGTTTTCTCTGCTCCCTCTGTTTCAAAGACAGTACGACTCTAGGACCTTGCACTGCATGCTGTAAAGGATGTCCAAACTGTGGTACCCTACTCAGTGAATCGTTGAAACAAGAACAAGGCGCATTGAATGAAGATGAGGTTCTGCATCTCACCAAGTCCGAATCAACAACAAATTCGCTATTGCAGATCCCATCTAACGGTGAAAGTCTAACTACTAAAGCCAGTAGTCAATCTATTAGCACCAGAGATGCAACTAAATCATCATCATCTCCACCATGTTATATCTGTGAACACGGGGTCTCTCCAGATAATGGGAATCAAACATACACCCCTACGACTTCTATTCGATCCCAACACGTTTCTAAAAACAACAGCCCAGCTTTGCATGGTCGTCATAGTGAATTCCACTCGCCGATCAGCCAACAACAAATCAGTCCATATGTTTCCCCACGCGCCATGCCAAATAACCAGTCTTTCCGCAACAGCAAGAGCCTATCTTTGACTGGCAGCCAAGATTCGCTAATACCAATTTCACCAGCGGGAACACACACCGGCCAACATCGCAGCCCAAAAGCATCTCAATACGGTGTTCGAACACATGCTGATAAGTTAAGAGCTGCATTAGCATGCCCAGTCGATGAACTTCCCCAGATAAAGTATAAGCCTTCGAAGAGGACTCCTTTGAGGAAGAAGATAGGCTTGCTTTTGAGAAGAGTTCGGGTAAAATGAAGTGCCCGATCCAATGAACCAAGACAAGCACTGACTTTCCCTCGTAGTACAAGTTTGAGAAGCCCTTGGTTACGAGCAACCATCAGTTGATTAAGAGCAGTGATGATGATTTGAAGTAGTCGAGGGATCAAGAATGTAAGTTTATGTGTTTTTCTCCACAAGCATAATTGCAGGTGTTTAAATCCAAATTTACAGCCTCAAACTCACAGCAATCCCAACTGACCACTCTAATCCGATCTTTAAAGATCCATATCACTAATACCAACTCTAGGTAAACGATAACCTGCGCTAGAAAATGAAGGCAAAAAGATCTTGGGGCAACAGAAAATGTACTGTTTACAGCGAATATTTTGGTGGAGCTTTGTCGAAGAAAGAATATTGTGTATGATATGCCCAACCAGCGTTTAAGTTTTAATGATAATATCAATTGCATATCGATCTTCTTTGGGGCGTAATTGCGGTTTATGGTGCGTAATGGGCTGGCTATATGTAATGTCTAATTTCACTTCCTGGCTAGACAGATCATAATATTGTGCTGCACAAAACAATACAGAATCGCATTCTCAAATGCAGCATTGGAAAGTAAAGGATTAAGATGACTGGTGACTCTTGCTCCGATACATGTCACGATAAAGTCACAGTATTGGGGTGAAAATACACATGAAATACCTAGGTATACAAGGAAAGTTTGTATAATGATTGAAATCAGTCCGGTCAAGCCTTTAGCATGAATTGATTTCAAAGCCTATTCGTGTCTACAAATATATCCCTGAATATATCCTTGATCATCCTGAACGCCAGCCATGCTACGCTTTTGAGTTTCTATACTTCGTTTCATAACTTTGATGGCTTTCACATCTTCATCCCCATAAGTCATGAATCAATCAATGTTCTTCAGATCACCCCTCTTGCCCCTAATCCTGTGCTCGGTAGCGTCCGAATCCCAAGTATTCATGATATTCGTCTTGGATTTTTGATCCTCCGCCTTTACTCTTCCCAGGGCTTCATTTGCAACCCCCCTTGAATCTGCCAGTATCATCCTCGTCTATAACAACTTCAATTTCCCAGTAATCTGATCAATAACACTCTTTGGCGCAGGACCAATTCCTAAAACAGTATGACTCCCACTCGCAATTTGAGTTCTACCCGCATCCGCAATCTGCTCGGCCACAACCCCCAAACTAATAGCTTGCGCCTGTAAGATCTGCAATTCATCTTCAGACTTTACTTGCAGCGCGACCTTTGCCTGACCTTCCCGTTCCCAGCGGCGTAGAATCAATGCATTGGCGGGTTGGCGCGAGATAGTTTTGTAGCAGGCGAGTGTGGCGTGGGAACATTGTGCAGCGATTTTTCCTAGAGAGTGGGTTGTTAGATCGTAATGTATCTCAATGTTGTAGATAGCTGGAATGGAATCAATAACACACCTTTTGTCATGCCCAAATCCGTTCTCACAACCAAGACCAATTTACATTCTTCTCCGGTGTCCACAGGTCCGCCTTCACTCTTCTCCTTCTTCTCCTTGTTCTTCTTCTCACTCTTTTTCGCAGTATCGTTTTGCGTTACACGTAACCCATCTCGTTTATCAGCTTCTAGCCCATTGGACCAGTTGGGCGCATGGTCTAATATAGACGCATCGATATCTTCTTCCTCGCTTTCTTCCTCGTCGTCGTAATGCGCGATTCCTCGTTCCTTGGGTGCCCGTGGCATGAAAGGAATTGGGAAGAATCCAAGACTAGACGCAATTCCAATCATATATCCACTGAGACCGGCTATGATGGCGGTGCCGATTAGCATGGCCGTGGGAGTGGGTGGTGCACGCATATCTGCCATGATTTCTCTGAAAACTTTCCGATCGGAAAGCTGTTTGCTGAATAAAGAGACGGCTGCAAATTCCCAGATGGAAGGAAAGTTGGATGAAGTTAAGCTGCAGGGATTATTTTTGTGGAAGTCTCGGTAGCTCTCTCTACCATGTCTTACCTCGATACGTTGTCAAGCTCTCAAGAATTTTCAGCCTTAAACATCAGGGGACACGTTCTAGAACCTCGAAAAAGCTTGGGATTGTCACATTCTGAAAGCCTCAAAATTCAACAAACAATCCGGCGCACCAGTTCCGTCCCCCGTGTTGCCTGGACTTTCGGGGCTTCAAAGTTGAGATGTGCAACAAATTAATTGGGAAATGAAAGTCGTCCGGGATTGTTCGATCTAGATATGCATGAGGGCCGTGAATCTGGTTTTCAAGGCTGCCAATTCGTTCTTTTGTTTACATTGCTTCTTTTCTGCTTCTTGTTTAGAGGTTCATATCATATGTGTGATTGGGATTTCAATCATGATACTGCTGTAGCAATTGATGAAGATTGAAATACGAAAGTACTCGGAATATGTAGTGCGGAGATCCGATGGAGTACAATTGAATGGGAAGACAAGGCCTTCGACTGGGAAACCGGTCATACTCCCCAAGTTGATTTATGACACCTTTAGCTGGAGGAGTGGATGACAAAATGAGAACCTCATTGTGGGAAATGTGTTCAAGCATTGATTCCGCATATATGATGAGAGAGCAGCCTCGATTCTCACGTCTATTTCATATATTCAGACCTCGTATCGTCTTCGAATTCAAATATCAGTATACAGTTATATTGAGGGTAATGGGGGTTCATTCTTCCACCCTCATCGTGGGAACAATGGGGCCTGAATGCATGTCGTCTCAATTAGCCTGATATCTATTTTAGCCTCATTTTCTTCTTCTACTTCAACAACCATGCTGGATATTTCATCTTGTTTCCTAGGAGTAATTCTCTTTATTTTGGTTGTTGCTTTCGATACAGCCTGACCAAGAAAGTTCTACAGTACTATCATCATCTTTGAAAGCTTTTTGTTATCCATCATCATCTGGGGATACAAAGGTAGATCATGAATCTTTTGGAGAACTTCTTTTACTCAAATGAGTAGGTATTCATAGGCAACAAAACTATAGAGTGCAGGTGAGATGATCATTTATCACAAGACTCATAACAATTTTTATCTATGAGCACTCTATGAGCAACAAGACAATGCCATCTAGTGATGTTAGATGAGATAGTGTAACTGTCCCGACCAATTCTAACAACCATCATGTTTCACTTCACAGTGACCAGACAACATATTCACGTTTATTGCCTTATATGAATAGTAATAACTTTGTTTTTTCCTGCTTTTGTCATTGCAATATAAACTCCTTATGTAGATGATTCAGATACCCTGCTTTCAGGATGATGTGGTCTAAGTATGAGCAATTCGCGGGACTAGTTCACAACAAAGCAGCTAAAACATATATTGAAAGCTGCCTTTCCATCAAATCTATGATTGAAGGATGTTCAATTTGCCGCATTGATCGAATAGAAGCAACTGGACTTGGATATCATAATCGATCGCCCAAAATTAAGGAGGCTGTATCATTCAGAAGCAACCTGCACGGCAAGTTTGTTTGACCTGCTACCTACTGGCATAATTCAATTTCATTCAATAGCATCTCTCTCGGCTTTGAAAGTGGCAATGGATCAGGCAATAGTTATCGATGATGATGTTGCTGTTGTCATTATTGAAGATGACGACAGAGATGAGGTGGTGGTTCTGGAACGAGGTAGGTTAGCCCGGCCTAGTTTTGCTTGCTCTTGTCCTCTTGTCTCACAGGTATATCTATGCTGATACCTCGCAAAAGCTCCCAGTATATCCCCAACACACTTTTCAAACGCCGACATCATAAATCGAGCTTCAAGTCCAAATACCAGAGAACATCTCACAGGATCAACCCTTAGATCCCAATTCGATAACTCTCCTGCACCTGACCATTCAGCTTATTTTCCTTTCATTGACTTGACGACTCCTGTGGTCTTCAGTGCCACGAAACCCAAAGAGAGCAATAGCCCTGGAGATAAAGTTCGCAGTCTCTCAACTAGTCTTCCAAGCTTCATACTCCAATACGAGGGGTACGAGTCGTCAAGGCCCTCGAATATCGCTGCTGAAGCAACAGCCGATCAGGAAACATCACAAGATCGCATTCGTCTCTCAAGACAATCGGGTACAAAAGAAGGCTCTTCCAGCTCTCGCAGCGAAATGGTTGCCAATTCTCGGAACATGTCTCATACTCATTCTATACCTCAGCATCGGTCTTCCAATGCAAGTTTGATCTCGATTTCAGATGAAGGGGACGGAGACGAAGAGAAAACGTCTACCGCCCAAGACATGAACTCGCACACAGATAACAACGCCGTTATAATCGAAGACAGCGATGACTTCGAATTCAAGCTCGAATCCCAACTCCTAGAGAAACCCGAGTTCGAGTTCTTGCGCGCTGTTAGTGTGAGTGAAAAGTCGAAACCCCAGCCGAAACTCAAAGTCGTTCCATTACGCAATCCTCCAATTACCAGTCCTTATTTTGAATGCGAAACGTATTTGCACGGAAAGCTTATCTTAAGACCGGCGAAAACTGTAGAGCTGGAGGATGGCGATTTTATTTGCATTAAGCACATTGTGAAGTACGTCAAGCCTGAAGACATTCGTGACCTTAGTCTTGACAATACTCAAAATGCTTTCATCACTATTCGGGGATTCCGATTACAAAGATGCAAGTATCTCAACGGCATGCTGGAAAAGAAGATGAATGAAGTTTGTCTATGTTACGAAATTGACTTAGATGATCCACGGCCACCAGAAGAGCAGAGTCTTGTCGAAGTACCTTTGAGCTCTGTGAAAACTCTACGTAGTCTTCGTTGGACAAATCATAACTACCCAAAGTATCGCAACCTGAATCGTGATGCTACCTGGACTGATGGAGACACATACAACAAAGGGGGGCTTACTGTGCGCTGGAAATACACTTGCAAATATGCATCAGCTTCAGCTAGAGAAAAGAACATATATGCAGAGAGAACTCTAGAACGGATCACGGAGGAATGGTTGTCATCAGTACATCAAAGCTCGCAATCATATCTGGCCTCAAACACCCAACTTCGGACCGAATGGCGCGGAGAAACGGTTCCTGGTGGTACTTATATACCAGAATGCTATGATATTGATGGAGAAGAAACAGCAGGCGAAGCTCAACAAGCTCGAAATCCTGCCGTGGTCGAGGATACGGAAAGTCTTTCAGAAAAATTCATAATCGTCGACGAGGATAGCGATGACGATTGTGCTTCTTCACCTGCCAGATCCCAACAATATGAGGCAGGTGGAATTCAAACCAAACGCAAGTCAGATTTCTCGTCCTCTTCAGATCGAGATAGCGACCAAGAAGACAACAAACCAGCGAAAAGAGCCCGCCAAGTTCCCGAGGACGATATCGAACAAATTAGGAAGCGTTTAGGTCGGATTAAGCTTGCGTTCAACGGTAAAGAATATGTCAAGCACTCTTACAACATCGGGACATCATCAGAGACGGTTCCAAAAAGTGAACCCGAAAGCAAGTTGACCTCTACAAAAGAAATTCGTGACACGGGAAGACTAGCTAGAGGCTCTCGATCCAACAGAGGTGTTCGACCAAGATTGAGGGGTCGCTTGATCTTACCGAGAAGAATTGCCCTTAACACTCGAGGTCCCTATCCTAAGGCTAGTATTCCACTGCCCTCCTCCCCAGCTCCATCTCCAAAAATTCCTCCTCAAATCGAGATTTCTTCATCCGAGTTAGCCTCTCCACCACCTAGCGGAATTGTCGACCTATCATCTCACCAATCTCGATCTTCCTCGTTAGTTTCGGTGCACAGCTCAAGACCGCCCTCATTGAAAGAGCCACTCGCCCTGGCTCCTGGACAAACCTTTACTTACGGCGATGCCTTCTGTGGAGCAGGCGGTACCACACGTGGTGCAGTCATGGCAGGTCTCCGCGTAAAATGGGGATTCGACTTCGATCAGCACGCCTGCACAACATGGCGTCTCAATTTTCCCGGCGCAACTTGCTACGAGATGTCATCAGAACGCTTCGTTTCTCTAGCTACTCCTTCTCCATGTTCTTCAGACATCCCTAATGACGTCAAAGTTGATATTCTTCATCTTTCACCTCCGTGTCAATATTTTTCACCTGCACATACAGTCGAGGGAAAGAATGATGAGATGAATACTGCGAGTTTGTTTGCTGTGGCTGCGGTAATCAAAGTTGCGAAACCCAGGGTTGTAACGTTGGAACAGACGTTTGGGATTTTGTATCCGAGGTTTAGAGGATATTTTTCGAGTTTGATTTGTATGTTTACTAGTTGTGGGTTTTCGTTGAGGTGGGCCATCGTGCCTTTGGCTCAATGGGTAAGTTCCTTCTGTTTTCTACGCTTGGCGAGCTCAATTTGTTGACTAATTATTTAGGGGCTTCCGCAAAGACGATTCCGTTTGATTATTATCGCATCATGGTGAGTTTCCTTAGGAAGTATTCTATTCTTACAATTTAACTAACAGCCTCTTAGCCCAGGCGAGCCCCTTCCCCCCATGCCACCACCAACGCACTCCCCACCCCACCCACCTCCCTCTTCTCTCCACAAACCCCGGCCTTTCAAAACCGTCTCCCAAACTCTCCGCGAAATTCCCGAATCGGCAGCAAACCACTCACCCCACCTGCTTCCAGAAAAATATCTCAAACCATATAATGCCCACGCGATTCTTCCACGCACAATGACGACCAGTGGTGGTGATAACTGGCATCCGAGCGGAAAACGAGGATTTACTGATCGAGAATTCGCTTGTTTACAAGGGTTTCCGTTAGAGCATAAGTTCGGACAGAATGGGATTAAAAGACAAATTGGGAATGCAGTGCCGCCGGTTGTGGCAAAGGTGTTGTTTGAGGGGATTAGAAGGTTTATGGAGGGGACAGATGGGGTTGTGAGGGATGAGGGGGATGGAGATGGAGATGGGGATGAGAACCGGGATGGGGATGGGAATGGGGAGGTGGACGATAAGATGGATATTTGCGAAGACATCGACATGGACAGAGTGCACATTGATGATAGTGATCATCAAATAGAGGTCGTGGATCTTATTGACGAAGCGGACGATACGGATTCAGAAACAAAAGCTAGGAGTGTGTTAAGCGAAGAAAGTGATGACGAGATATTGTTGGGGTCGCAGAAGTGGGAAAGCATATTGTTATTGATTAGGTAACTAATTAGTTGCGAATCTCAACTTGAGATGAGAGTACAAGGCGTGGGAAGGCGTTTTCAAATTGCATAGATTAATATTGTTTGTCACATACCATCTGGTCATGCTTTACAAGGTGAAAATCGGAGTAGTCAAGATATTACAGTGCCCAGATCGAGCAATGAGGAACTCCTAGCAAATCCCTGATAAAGTAGAAGTCATCTTTGAAATGATGACTCCGAAATTTGCACATGAATGCAGACGTCTCTGACATGTTATTTCAACTGAGTATTCTACAATTGTCTACTATATGTCTTACCCAGCAGTCGCGAAAAGCACAACTATTGCTATAGCGATATCACTAATTTTTTCAGCTTATTAGATAGCACGGGTAGCTACTGTTGTCCTGCGATTTCACCGTCTATTTCTCATGAAGTATGTCATTATTGCGGCAGTATGCGCAATGACTCCATATATATACAGGAGGCATAGACATTTTCCAATAACATGATACCGAGAATTATGCAAGACCTTTCAACTGGTGAGATCCATACCGAGTAAGTGAAACTCAACGCGATACTGGGCGAGGTAAAGCTGATAAGCAAATTTCTTATTCTATACCACCCTCCTTCCATGCCCATTCTAGATAGGTAAACTGCGAATCGATCAGACAATCAGCCTCGGAAAATCAGCCCCCAGAGAAGCATTTCGTTCCCTTGTTTCACAGATAACATTCATTCTCTTCGCCACATGTGTCAGATGTCCATGGTAGCTAGTCACTTGACTGTTAGTGGCTAAATATTCAGCGTTTCTGATAGTTGTACCGTTACTGAGCTGCTTCGTTGGAGCACACTCTAGGCGAAAAGGAGAGACACAATGAAGAATTGAAAAGAATTCTATCTCAGTAACATAAAATCTAATTTTAATGCCTTTTGCAACGTAGAAAATACCAAAAAGTCCTCTAGATATCATTGCGATTAGTGCGTGTCGGGCCGGGGTCTCAGAGTCGACGAGCTCGCTACTCCAATATGCTCATCTGTCTGAAAATACACGTCGAATTTGGACGGGAAACACCTCTCAAGATCTCTATTCGATTTGAGCATCTACAAGACGATCAAGACGGCAGCATCACTTGATGTTCTGATCTAGACTAACAATGCGGTTTACCACTCAACAGTTTACTGGTAGCTCAAAAGTTTACCGCATAAACAATAAAATTCCATCAGTAAAGACCATTAACAACTATCACTAATTGATATCGATGCTAGTAAACAGTAATATAACAACTTGTATTAGGTATTTTGAAACTTGTATTCTTACATATTTGCCTCGTCATGCCAGCCCAGCCTTTTCACCAGAAACCCATTTGTACCATCCAGTAGCGATCCAATATCCTTGATCTCGCTAGTTTCATTCTATACGCCAACGCAGTACTGATTCCATTTCCGAGCCACTGACTCACGCTCTTGTAAGTCCCCACATGAAGATCAATTGTACAGGGTATGAGTAGATAAAGAGAAATTGTGTCCTTCGGCTCTTCTGCGATCGTGCAACTGTTTGCATGGTTCCTCGCTCATCAGTTGTATTTTCAGGAAGTAAAACGTATTTTAAGGATCGCAGCTGGTACATCTGTCAGAGGCACGGAAAAAAAATAACATTTCGGGGGGAAACATACCAGAAACAAAGCGTTGGCGAGGAAAGTGTAACTGAAAACAGTCCACCCAATCCAACCGCCAGTTCCTTTTCCGCCGTTGATGATCTCACTGACGACTAAAGTGGCAATAACTCCAACGAACTTATATCCAGAGTAGGCGACCAAATCAAGCAGCTGGGACTCGTTAGAAATTGATAGGAGATAACATCCAAGCTTCAATCCCAGAATTTCAATAAACACGATAAAAAATGCCCATCCTGCCGTTGATCCAAGAAGTTCTGGTTGAAAAGCTCCTCTGAGGCCGGCCAACAGTGTGGAAAGGAGGATATAAGTTACAAGTGCCATTACTGTGAAGAGGTCAATTTATGGAGTTTGCGCGCGGGCAATTAATCATACCTGGAATATACATATCTGGACTATTGAGATCATCTCTAGGAGGTAGAAACCACCCCTCTTGACCACTGGGACCAATCGATTGTTTCCTTGACCAAGGCTTGTGTCTCCATGGGAATAGGACTAAAAATAGCTTGTTGACCACATATCCATTCGAGACATTGAAGTAATGTTTCAGCGCCGAAACATTGACATATCGATTGAACTATCTAGCTGTCAGAACTTCGTCTTCAATATGTATCCTCATATACTAACATTCTGTTCCACATATTCTGTTCCATGTTTTAAAGCTGTTTGTCCAACTTGGAATCCCATTTGCGCCGTAGGATCATTTATAAAGCCTCCGTATGCGCCGAATGCGCCAGCATTCCCTGGAGCTTGTGGTTGGTAGGGGTTTCCATAGCCTGATTGATGCTGTTGTTGTGGCATTGGGGGAGGTGGTGATCGTAGCTGAGGGACTGTAGAGACATGTTGAGGTACTGGGTGGTGAAGAGGGGGAGAGTTGGCTGGAGGGAAGTTCCCATAATTTGATCTTTGCATATTGACGGTCTGATAGAAGTAGACGAATAGCGTCTGCTGCGATTAATAGTATGAGAAGTGGAATAATAAGGGGGTGGAAAGTGGTATAACTATCATGCAATAAGTAAGAATCGCGCCTAGGTCGAACACATTTCCATAAAGCATTGAGCTTCGGGTGGCTGCTATAAGCATATAGGGCGGCCGCTTTATCAGTCGACGTTTATCGTCTTATCGGTGATGCTTGGCACAATCATTCTGCGTGCTTTAGAAGAAAGTGTCCATATGAATCCATAATCTTCTTTGATGGACTCCTTTTAATAGTGCCACAGTGTTACATTCTACGAATCTATTGTTACGACTCTCACGGCTGTTACGAATTTCTACTACTCAAGATGTTGGATACTTTTGAGATCCTCACTACTTCTGGAGTGGTACTCTGGTCGAAACAATTTTCCCCCGTCAGCCCTGCGGTTATTAACAGCCTTATCACGAATGTCTTCATTGAAGAACGAACCTTACCCGGTGCCGGAGTTGCAGATGATATTTCTGCTGCAAGTAATCCTCCTTTCAAACATGATCAGCATACTTTGAAATGGACGACATGCAAAGAATTAGGCTTAATATTTGTGGTATGCAAAAGTAGTCCTGTGGCGCAACAAATCTTGTGGAATTTTTGAGGCATCTCGCGCTAACTTGTGTTGCAGGTTGTGTACAGGTCATTGCTACATCTGTCATGGATTGATAAATTGGTGGATAATGTCAAGACAATATTCGTGGACTTGTATGGTGATCAACTGAGAAAACCACACACAACTGTTGTCGAATGTCCTTTCGATGAATATTTCGACCAACAAGTACGGGAGTTGGAGAAGAGTGCTTTGAATCAGGATGCTAGAGTTGCAGAGGCTTCTGCATTCGAAGAGTCGATTCCTTTGATTTCTACGACCTCGGACAATGAGCCTCCGCCAATGCCTGGATTACCCTCGAGAGGTATGCGCCAGTGTTTCTCTCAAGCGCAAACTTACTAATATTCCATAGGACAATCAAAGAATAATGTCAAAGATATCCCTTCCCCTGACTCGACTCCTCTCGGAACACCTAATTCGCGGCCGAGTACACCTGCGAGCCACATATTGAGCGCAAAGGCAGGTCCGGGCGGAAAGGTTTCTCGAAGAGCTAGAAAGGCAGCCCAGACTCCTACGTATGCATCATCCGGCGATGAATCTCACAGAAAGGGTAGAAGTGTAAAAACCGGACCAAAGAAGGGAAGGAAGTGGGATGCAGATGGAATGGCAGATGAGGATAGCGATACCCCCCTCGACTATTCCGCGCCCGCAAACGGGGCTACTTCTGGGGAGGACGAAGGTCGCCCGGGTGCCGTGGAGGGAGTTGAACAAACCTCATGGGGTTCAAAAACTGGAAAGGGGCAGTTCGTATTGAAGGATCTTGAAGACGAAGTCCATTCGATTTTAGATTCCGCGAATGCGAAGAAGGCGGAGTCTAGCGCTCCAGCAGCTGGCCTAGTAGGATCTAGCTTTAGTGCTATTGGAGGATTATTTAGAAATGTAGTTGGAGGAAAGACTTTGACTAAGGAGGATTTAGATAAAGCCATGAAGGGAATGGAGGATCATTTATTACGAAAGAACGTCGCAAGAGAAGCCGCGATGAGATTATGCGAGGGTGTAGAACGGGAATTAATAGGAGTGAAGACTGGAAATTTCGAGAGTATGTATTGCACACATGATTTTCGTTAGAGCACCACTAACCATTTGCAGGCGTTCAAACAAGAATCGCAACAGCCATGGAGGCATCACTAAGAAAAATTCTGACTCCTACCTCATCTCTTGATCTCCTTCGAGAAATCGATTCTATTGTCTCACCTCCAGCTTTGTCGTTGAAGAAAAAGAGGCCATATGTCATGTCCATTGTCGGAGTCAATGGTGTTGGTAAATCCACAAATCTTTCCAAGATCTGTCATTTCCTTCTACAAAACAAATACAAAGTCCTCGTCGTAGCTTGCGACACCTTCAGATCTGGAGCCGTCGAGCAATTAGCCGTTCACGTACGAAATCTGAAAGAACTAACCACCAGAGAAGGTGGCCAAGTAGAACTATATCAAAAAGGCTACGGAAAAGACGCCGCAAACGTAGCCAAAGACTCTGTCTCCTTCGCTGCTCAAGAAGGCTATGATGTAGTTCTAATTGACACAGCCGGACGACGTCACAACGATCAACGACTCATGTCCTCGCTTGAAAAATTCGCTAAATTTGCTCAACCGGATAAGATCCTCATGGTAGGCGAAGCACTCGTTGGCACAGATTCAGTCGCGCAAGCAAGAAACTTTAATGCAGCATTTGGCCAGGGCAGATCCCTAGATGGGTTCATTATCAGTAAATGTGATACCGTGGGAGATATGGTGGGCACCCTGGTTAGCATGGTGCATGCTACGAATGTACCG